ATATTTGCCGAGATAAACCGGTAATCGCTACAGAAAAATAGAACAAATTAGAGAAAATACAAAACAAGTTACAGAAGCGGAAGTGGGATGGTTCATCTATTCTGACTGTAAAGCATTAATTATATAAAATGTATAGAGTTTTGAATATTTTCAAAATTGTACATGGATTGTTCAAAATGTATAGATAAGATAATTAAATTAATCGCTTCACTTTATTTTAGTCGCACTATTTACAGTATCCCTCGGCTCAACAAATGCCGATTTACACAATGAAAATACTCTTTGGCTTTGCATGTATTCACAAATTAAGAGAAGAACCACTAACATTAAGTGTACACTATTTAAAGGGAGCTAGTTAACTATCGGCTTAAAAATTAAAATGATTTTAATCTAAAGGCCAAGAACAGCTGTGCACCATGTCTGCTTAGTGTTTAACGATGCAATTCGAGTACGCTCTGAATGAATGACATGCAATTTTGACTGAAAGACTTTTTCGAACATCAAAAAAAGCCACCATACACCACTCTCTTTTTTCTCCTAGCATCAGCTCTATTTAGTAGAAATAACATTGTGTGGAGAACCCAAATAGACAATTCCCATTATAGACTAATTTTAAAACTAGGCAAGGAGATGCGAGAAAACCGCAACCGCTTGAAAGAGCATACTATAATTAGAAAATTTGCAAAGTTTGGTTGCGAAATATTGTAAAATGCGGAAAATATAGCCTTGCAAAGTTTGCAAATTGTGTATACTTTTGTATTGCGTGCGGAAATTGCTACCATTTTCGGCCCAAATGTGGTAAGAATGCGGTAGGAATTTCCGCACGCAATACAAAAGTATACAAAATTTGCGAACTTTGCAAGGCTATATTTTCCGCATTTTACAACATTTCGCAACCAAACAAAGTAATTTTACTAATTTTAGTATGCCCTTTCTAGCTGTGCTGATCTATTTGCATCTCCTTGCCTATAGTTTTAAAATTAATCTGTAATAAGAATAATTCTTGTCTATTTCCAGAAAGTGTAGCCTACAGTGGTTTAAACTTGATTTATAAATGGGAAGCACGATACTGTCTGATATGTTTCATCACAACAATGTATGCATGATTTATAAATAGCCTAAATGAATAACACGTTCACTAGCTATAGCCATTATATATATATATCACTAACATGCGCCCGTTTAGCACCTAACACTGTTATAACGCGCAAGCAACCTTTTATAACTGCAGCATTATCGAATAATGCTCGTATTTTTCATACCTTTTTGATTATATAAAGGTGGTTGAACTCGGGGTTATGCTCACTTCCATCAGCATCAGATGCCTCTTGTAGTGTTTTACGGTTGAGCTCGCATAGACCTTTACCGATTCCAGACGTTTTAAAATTTACTGACGCACATGATCCATCTGCAACGCAATGCATGCCACATTCTAATTCGGTTTCTGCTAGTTTTGTTTTTATGACATGATTCGCTAGGTAAGTTTGCTCTTTTCTGCGAAAGATAGCTTCCTCAATGGAACATTTGCCTGGTTGTGTTAGTTGTGAGACAAAAATTAACGCACAAATGCTTAAGAAGACAGCCATTGTGGGACTGATGATATAAGCCTTAGGACGCGCAGTCTTCATTTGCTAATTTGTTAACAACAGCATTTACATATATAAAATTTACATTTAAAAAAAAATGGATAGCAAATTACGCACAGTCATATATATAAATTGCTAATTTGTTAACAACAGCATTTACATATGAAAAACATGGGTAATTTAAAAAAATGGATGGCAAATTATGCACAGTCATATATAGATATATATAAATTGCTAATTGGTTAACAACAGCATTTACATATGAAAAACATGGGTAATTTAAAAAAATGGATGGCAAATTATGCACAGTCATATATAGATATATATAAATTGCTAATTGGTTAACAACAGCATTTACATATGAAAAGCATGGGTAATTTAAAAAAATGGATGGCACATTATGCACAGTCATATATAGATATAATTATAAAAATTTCTAATTTGTTAACAACAGCATTTACATATGAAAAGAATGGATAGTTTAAAAAAATGGATAGCAAATTGGGCGTAGTCATATAAATTGCTAAATTAGTTGCTAACAACAACATTTAATTACAAATGAAAAGTATGGATATAGTTTATAAAATGATATAGCAAATTAAGCGAGCCGACGGCAGCGGACGTTGACTTGTTCGAAATTCGAGAAGTCTGAAAAGTAAACCAGTGAACTCAATTTATTTTACTTTACCTGGAACGGTAACACTCAGTAAAAAAGGGAAGCTTCGCGTACAAGCAACGTTTCAGGAAAGGCGTTAGCCCTCCACGCCATATAGTACGTCTGTTTTATCCAGCACAATTTTTTCACTGCTCGGTCAGTATGTCAATTTATTACTGAAAGTAAGGCTTTTTGGTTCGTCGTAATTGAAGCAATAACTGCCCTTTAGCTACTACTGTTTCGGTGGAGGAGGGGTTGATGAAAATGCGCACATTGAGCACAATTTTCCTTTTCCGTACATTGGTTTCGTCGAGAACAGCTTGACATCCGGTGGTTTCTACCAGCCTTCTTTGCACAGTTGAAACAGGCGTGGTGCTCTTTTGTGCGTTGTATGCCTTGGTCATGATTTAAGGACGAAAACTTCGGATATTGATCCATCCAATGGGATGACGTTTTACAAAGCCAACATATCGGTGGTTTGAGGATTGGTCGTCGCCTTCCTGGAATTGCTTTAAATGATTGATTGAATTTTTGTTACTTGTTTTTAGTGGTGCAGACGCTCTCATTCTGTTCTTAAAGGTGCAGACGCTCTCACACTGGACTTCATCCCGACATTCATCCATGTCACTTAGCGATGAAACGATGCAGTTTTCTTGTCTTTCGCGAGATCATGTGACCAAACTTTTCAGGCCTTTTTTAAGGATTTTCCCGTGTGGGGCATTTTTGGAAAGGGACAATTCTGTGAGATAATATATTAGAGGGGGATAGTAATGGCTGGAGGCCACTTCTATGGCCCACATACCACGCATGAATACAGGGATCTGGGTGGAAATTTTTGAAAATTGAAGCCCAGAAATGCCAGTTCCTGCATTCTGAGCATCCAAATTTGCTTTAAAATTTATGCTAACGATACTTGTACTTGAAATAAAAGAAGGGAAAGACGCACAAAAAGTTAAAAAATTATTAACCAATTATCATTATATTTATTCGAGAGGGATATAAATGGCCGCAGGCCACGTGTGTGGGAACATACTCCCCCATAAAAATTTGAAACCCGAAAATGCCATTTCCCGCATTCTGAGCATTCCAATTTGCTCTAAAATTTATGCTAACTATACGTGTATTTGAAATAAAAGAAGGAAAAAATCGCACAAATAATAAAAAAAATTGTTAATAATAATTTATCATTACTTAGTGGTAGACAAACTTTGTATGTTAAAAAAGGCCCCGAAACTTTTCTATGGTCAGCACTCATTTGTTTCGATGATCGATACCATGTGGCTTGTTATCCATATCCTTTGGCAAACCTACTTCCTTTAACGTGTTATAATCCTCTTTACCAAGTGTACAAGTTCACGAAATTAGGCATCTTCGTCACTATTTAATGCTCTAAACTAGAAATATATCTTCATTATTCTATCGGATACTACTCTAGGAGCGTCACTATTTGTTCCAATGCCCTAAATTAGTTCAAGTGGCCATCCGTTTAAACATGTTCGTAAAGTGATACAGCATCAAATTTAGAGTACCTTGGTTCAATAGCGTGCTTAAAATCGGCTTTAAATATCGCGTACTCTCGTACATCACACGAAAATTTAGGTAATTTTTAGGTTTTTCCATCTTAAACAGGCACGCGCAGTTTTCAGTGGGTACCTATCCCCCTGTCGAGACAGGTTGGCTTACGGCCGTGACATCATTTGATACAGGCAGGGCGTTGTTTGGCAAAACTTGCTCTAAATTAACATTGTTGTTTTCGTTTTGCTCGCTATTATTTTCGTTATGAGTGTCGCTTCCACTCGCGTATAGGCTGACTGTTTGTTATTGACTGTTCCTATCTGCTTGCATGGCCTCCCTCGCTCCACCGCCCGGTACGGCCATTGCTATATTTATTAAGGTCACAAAAATTAAAGAATAAAACACAACGCAACTGTTTAAAACCATGCATGTAAAGGGGAATTATGAGCATTCAGTATTTGATAAGTTTACATTTGAGACAGCGAAGAATATTCGTGATTAGGAGTAAACGGAATCCTTGAGACGATATTCGAAAAAGTTTTTCAGTCAAGAATGCCATGACCATTAATTCAGAGGGAACGCACATTTTAAGAAACTTTTACTGATCCTAGAAGCTTTGTAATTTACTGATTCACATAACCCATCTTAATTAAACGCAGTTTATACAACATTCTATAGCTCGCTCTCTGCCCAATTTTCATGACATGATTCGCTTAAGCCAGGCGTACACCAGAGCTTTTTGCTTACCAAATTGTCATTCGCGGCAGCGTGCTTAATCACACACGAGAGAAACTTGCTGAGCTAACCGCCTTGCGTGGCAGGTAACTCAGCAAGTTTCTCTCGTGTGTGGACAGTTTTCGTGAGGATTTGACCTCTCGAGGGCTTGAGGAAAATATATATCGTTTTTGATATTTTTCACCTTGCGAGGAAAAAATCTCAACGTCCGCGGATGTTGCGAGCATAGTGCTGAGCTGCTTGAATCAGTTAGTCAATGAGAAACCATTGTTTCTTCATGCGACGTTGAACAAAATGGAGTAAAATGCGAACGATTTGGTCAATTTTGTTGTTGTTGAGTAGTTTTCCCAACGTGCATGTGCGGTGAAAATGCATAGCTGAGCTCATGGCTGTTGAATAGTTTTTGCCGTGAATGACGATCTACTCTGTGTGTGCGATGAAACTGAAGGAGCAAACTTAAAATAACTTACCAAAGCGCATGCGCGTAAGCCACAGTAAGCGAAAACAGAATGGGGGATATGGCAATAGATTCTGAAGAGGAATGCGAAGAAGAAGAAATACTGCTTTCTTCGTTGCTTATGCGACGACGTCGTAGGCGTTTACGAGCTTTGATCTCATCCGCCGACACATGGTCAAGGCAATGCATAATGCGGAGAGAAACACTAGAGGCGCATTCAAATCTTATTCGCGAGTTAAACGCTGAAAAAAACCAACAACAAGAAAAGCATTCAATGGAATTTTGGCAACAAAAAAGGCAGTATTTCTTCTTTTGCGAGTTCCTCTTGGGAATCTATAACCATATCGGCCAGTTTGTTTTCATTTACTGTCGTTGATACTGATGTAGTGTCAAAAAACTCGAATCACTCGAGTCACGTGTGACAAAAAGCTCGAAAAAGTTCTCCGCACACTAGAGCTTCCTGCTTAATTAAGCACGCTGCTTGGTTTTACTTTTTGCACGACGAAAATTAAGGGTCAAAAATTTAAAAATACTTCATTCTAAGACAGGCGAACTAGCCCGTGTTCAGCGCATGGTGCTATAATTTGTTCAGCTAGACAATTAACGGCAATAGGGTTAATAAGTTATATCAAGTCTGCTATTGGGCATTTGACTTTTGGGACAAAATATGTCATTACCTATAAACAGACAACTGATAAATTGGTGACGAACGACTCGTCAAACAGTGAATTTGTAATAAGGTGGTTTCTTTGGCACATTTGCGCTACATCAGTGTTAATTAACGCGCGCTAAAACGGTCAAAAACATCTATGGCTAAACACTTATAGCTTTATATTACTTGTTGTAAAGTAATTGAATCGACTTGCCTGCAGAAATTAGGCTTTTGGGTTAAATTAAATAAACTTTTCACATTATGCTTGCATTCCCCAAACATATCAATATCTTTGCATTTCATGACAAAAGTTCGTCTGTGTTTATATATCAACGTTGAGTGCTGTGTAAAAATTGTTCAACTGAAATGTCAAATCAGAAGAAAATTGTATGGTGTTTCGAAAATTGTTGAAAATCGTTGAGCTCTTCAAATTAAAATAATTAAAGCTGCATTAAAATGTATAGAGTCTTGAATATTTTTTAAGATTCGACATTTAGATTCTTGCATGAAAATGTAGATAAGATAATTAAATTAATCGCTTCACTTTATTTTAGCGCACTATTTATCCCTCCGAAAATGCTGTTTTACACAAAGTGCTCTTTGCACGTATTCACAAATTAAGAGAAAAACTACTGACACAATATGTATACACTATTTAATGGCAGTTTCAACTCTCGGGTTTAAAAATTAAGATTAAAACCATCTTCATCTTCAGGGAAAGTAAGGCGATGGTTTCTGCATTCATATATTTTTTAGTGAATAAATAAATAACACGTTAATTTACTTGCTGCAACCATTATATATACTAATAACGCCTAACACTATTATAACACGCAAGCAATCTTTTGTAACTACAGCACTATCGAATAATGCTCGAAATTTTTCATAGCATTTTTTATTATTATTAGTTTTATTTCGCCCACAGAATAGAGTATTTAGATTGTTTTTTTGTGATTTTCTTATATATATATATATATATATATATATATATATATATATATATATATATATATATATATATATATATATATATATATATATATATATATATAGTATTTTAACTTAAAATTGAGTCACTCAATTTTGTGTGACTCAATTTTAAGTTAAAATACTATTTGCTCCGTTAAATACTTGATGTTGAGCACTCTTTTTACACTATATAATTGAAACAATATTATATATATATATATATATATATATATATATATATATATATATATATATATATATATATATATATATATATATATATCCGGGAACGACTTGTAACTTAAGAAATACAAGATATTCCGCTGTGAGAAAACCAATGAGAGAATGGGAACTTTCGCTGTTGAGGTTCGCCATAGATTGTTGAAAACTTTGACGAGCATACAGTATGTGCATTATTTATTTGGGTAAGATGTTGAAGTTTTTTACTATTTAAACGGCTCACAAATAGTAAACAGAAAACACCCATACCCGTTTGTCTTTTACGTGTAGACCATGGTTTACTGCGGGAAAACGGGTAGAAATTACGGGTAAAAATGCTGACATCAGCAAAAATTGGTAAACAAAATGGCGATACTCGTACCCGTAACCCGGAATCGGGGTATCTTAACCTCTCTAATCCTTTATTCTAAGACAGGCGAAATAGCCCGTGATCAGCGCACAGTGCTATCCTTGGCTCTGCTAGACAATTAAGCATAGACTGAATTTGGGCATATCGTTATCAATTTTAATGGAATATGATTGACCTGGGTGCATTCTTTCCCAAGTTTGCATCATATGTTATGGGTTAATTGTATTTATGCGAACCAAAAAATGTCGTTAACGTTGCCTGTAAACAGACACGCAGCGCTGCTAAATTGGCAAGATGGAGGAGTTTTCGAACCTTCTCTATAGAGTGGCGTAACGGGGGAAAAGGGTGACCTTAGGCATATTTGGTGTGTTGTCATTGGGGGTCCTTGCTGACTGTTGTCATTGTTTGATGGGTATGACCAATTAACGAAACTGCAGACCACTGTACTGCGGAACCTGCGAAACTTAATATTAACATCATCTTTTTCATCTTAAGTACAAACACAGGGGGCTCAACTACTGTCTGCAACAATGTAAAATAATCAAAATAATAAAATTATATACTTAAAATATTTGCATAAATTAATTCTTCGCAAGAATTTCGATATAAATTGAGAAAGAGCAAAAAAATTATCTATATGAAGTACAACAAAATCCTCAACAAGGTAAGTAATGCAGGCGCGTATGAGGTAATAGCTTATTAATAATAGATAAAGTAATATCTATAGAAGGATTGAAAGACCGGTCACATGATTTTTTTAAATGCTTGTAGTTTAACTGTTTCCACATATTTTGATTATTTTACAACGTATTGAGCATTCTCTTAGACGATCGACAAAGATATTTAGTAGAGAAATAACATATATAGATAAACCTTTCGCTAAATGATTTTTAACAGCAAGCTTTCTTCGCAATTTTCGCGATATCTCTACCAAGAGTAGCCTATCCAGTCGTTGGCGCCGGTGTATAGACTATAGTTTCAATATTAAGTAGCTCCTGTGCTACAATTCAACTAACAATGGACCATTTGCATTATAGACTAAATTTTGATCTAGACAAAAATTTTATCACAGCTTGAAAGAGCATCACAAAATTAGTAATATTCCAAAGTTTCGTTGCGAAATGTTGTAAAATGCGGATAATATAGCCTTGCGAAATTTGCCGTTTTTCAGTCATTTTGTATTAC